TGTGACATTAAGCTAATAAATTACAAGATTTATAATTCTTCATTTATGAAAAGATTTACTTTAGATTTACAATTTTGTTGCCAGGCAGTATGGTTGTTAGATCCAAAAGATGTTACACGTCAAATGCATGAGGAATTCTACAGGTTTATTTCCAACTCATTCGATGCTCCTCGTTACTCTTTACATTATAAAACTGATGCCCCAATCAACATTCGTTGCGTGATTTACGTGCCTGAAGGCAAGCCTGGATTGTTCGAAATGAGCCGTGAAACAGATGTTGGAGTGGCGCTTTACAGTCGAAAAGTTTTGATCAAAAACAGAGCTGACAACATCGTACCAAAGTGGTTAAGATTTGTCAAAGGTAAAAAGACTCAAATTTTGTTTTCACGGATGTGACTTACGTATATTTTTTGATAAAGTATGAAAAAACATTAATGAAATGTGGCGATCAATTTTAAGGGTATCTTAAAAATTTAACAAAATTATATTTATATTTTAAATTTATTATATAAATGTCAAACATTCATTTATTGTAATTATCATTAACTTTGTTTTAAAACTGACCTCGTCTGTCAAATTTTACAAGCGTATACATATTTACATAGCAGATTTTAATTTTATTGTACTCAAAATAATATCTCACAAAACTTGTTTAAAATATACAGCTTTAGATTATCTCATATTACCCTATTTTATTTCTGAGACAGTAGAAAATGTGCTAAATACCTTTAGAAACTTGCATGATTCCTGTTAAACTCGTATAAAAATGGTAAAGACATAAATTTATGTGTGTGTATAAAATATGAAGCAGTGGTGATCTGTACTAACTGAAGCTGTAGTGTATCATTGTTCTTTTATTGGTGGGTTCTTTGAAATTATCTGGTGTAAATAATTCAACTTTCAATAATAGATTATTTTATTCCCTCGCTTGAACACTTGCACACTGCTGTGAGTTGTTGTAGGCCTATGATACAAATTATGTTACCTAACATAAAACAAATAAAAGTACAAAGTAACTCAATGAGTGTGATTAGCAAATGGAGGTCCAAATACTTCACGAAAACACACTGACTGATTCAATTCTATATCTTGAGAAAAAAGTGTTTCTTTGACTACCTTTAAATTAACTCTACTCTGGAAACAATTATCCCATATTTATAGTCAATCTTCGATTGTGTGAGAAAACTTACCATCAACTTAGAATTTTCTAGCCATTCTATGCCATCTACCTAACATCTAAATTACAACATTAACAATATAGCTTACAACAAGTTACAAGACCTTAATAAGTTGACTCCCATGAACTAATAAACCTCAGTAAATTGTCTCCCATGAAATACAAGACCTCATTAAATTAACTCCTACGATCTACAAGACCTCATTAAATTAACTCCTATGAACTACAAGATCTCATTAATTAAATTCCATGAACTATAATACCTTACTAAACTGATTCTCATGAACTACAAGACTTCAGTAAATTGACTGTCATCAACTACAAGGCCTCAGTAAATTAACTCCCATGAAATACAAGGCCTCAGTAAATTAACTCCCATGAAATACAAGGCCTCAGTAAATTGATTCATGTGAGCTACAAGACCCCAGTAAACTGACCCCCATAAGCTACAAAAACAAAGTTACCATTAAATTTAATCCAATTAGAAACTTCAGGATACTGATTTACCTCAACCAAAAATTTAACTTTTAAAATTACTCCTCTGAGACATTATTTCATGATAAAACTTTATTGACCCTTCTGGACCTTAATATATATACCTAAACCTGAACATTGATCTAACCAGAAGGCTCTGTAAAGAAACTCTCACGATACAATAACCTAACAAAATAACCACTCTCCTGAAGTAGAACCTAAAAAAATTCTGTATAATAAACCTACAACATAATTACCTAAACTTCAGTAAAGTGACAGTAGTGTGTGAGTCAATTTACTAAAGTCTTGTAGCTCATGGGAGTTAATTAATTGGAGTTTAAAGTTAGATTATGGTTTAGGAGAGCCACTATAATGATTTATGAATAGAATATCCAGCACCTAACTTTTCTTTGTGAGAGGAACCTTAGAAGATCCAGCACCTAACTTTCTTTGCAAGAGGAATCATAGAAGATTCAACACCTAACTTTTCTTTGCAAAGATATTCTTAGAAGATCCAGCTCCTAGCTTTTACTTGTAAGAGAGATCTTAAAAGATCCAGGATCTAGCTTTTACTTGTAAGAGGATTCTTAGAAGATCCAGCATCTAGCTTTTACCTGTAAGAGGATTCTTAGAAGATCCAGCATCTAGCTTTTACTTGTAAGAGGATTCTTAGAAGATCCAGCATCTAGCTTTTACTTGTAAGAGGGATCTTAGAAGATCCAGCATCTAGCTTTTACTTGTAAGAGGGATCTTAAAATATCCAGGATCTAGCTTTTACTTGTAAGAGGGATCTTAGAAGATCCAGCATCTAGCTTTTACTTGTAAGAGGGATCTTAAAAGATTCAATACTTCTTTATTCTTTGTAAAAAAAGATTGTTCAAAGATCAAGTACTAATTATTTCTTTCAAAAGGACTGTTTAAAGATTCACTACTAATGTGTTTGAAAATCCGTCAGTAATACATTGTAGTACTTAGGTATTCCTTGTGAGGTACATGTGTAATTCCTATTTTATAATATGTTTGGCTACTTTGATGCCTAAGTTAACAGACATTAGTATTCTAGTAAATTTTGATATTTCAGTGTGCATCATTCTGAGAAATCAGGAAATAGAAATATACTTGGATTAACTGTCATAGTTAGTGTTCATTTCCTTTGAGGGAAAGATTGGTAACTGTGTGACTCCCAGTGGCTCAGTGGTAAGTCTGTTGACTTACAAAGATAAAATCCCCAGTAATTGCGTGACTCTCATTGGTAAGTCTGTTGACTTACAAAGATAAAATCCCTAGTAATTGCATGACTCCCAGTGACTCAGTGGTAAGTCTGTTGGCTTACAAAGATAAAATCCCCAGTAATTGTGTGACTCCCAGTGGCTCAGTGGTAAGTCTGTTGGCTTACAAAGATAAAATCCCCAGTAATTGCGTAACTCCCAGTGGCTCAGTGGTAAGTCTGTTGGCTTACAAAGATAAAATCCCCAGATAATCTGTTGTGTAACTTTGTGCTTAACAACAATGAAACCAGTAATTGCATTATGATTTCAGAACATGAGATTTACTTATTAACATATATTTCAAAGTGGTATGTATTCAAACTTTTAGGAAAACTACAATGTGTATAAATTTGGAAAGCTTTTGGTTGTTTGTTTTGTTCCTTACCAAACAAGATGGACGTTCATTATGTTCTTTGATATTATATATTTGTTTGTCTGTTAGTTTAATTGATTTATAAAGAGATTCGGTTACTTGTAGTTCTTTGGAACTTATATTTAAATACCGTTTTATCTAAATTTGATAAACAGGGGTAGTTGACAGTGAGGACATTCCTTTAAATCTCAGCCGGGAGTTGTTGCAAGACAGTGCTTTAATAAGGTAAGAAGCACGTTAAGAGAATTTTTATTTTATGTAAATTAGTTGTGTAATAATTGCTTACAAATTATATTTATCTTTAAAAGCTCAGAATATATATTTATGATAACTGATTTGTTGATCGAATTCTGCTCATAAAACTGTAACGTTAAAGTATGTTAAGCAGGGTCATCTTAAAACAATGTAGTTTGTATTAGGGAAGAGTTGTCATTTGAAACATTAAAATTACGTTGTACGAGATTCGTACTAGGTTTTAGCTTGTTGTGTAAAACCCATCATTTGAAACATTAAAAGACAACTTTAAATAGAAGAACTACTTAAATATTACTAGTTTCTAAGGGAACTCTCAGAAGACTTAACTTTAAATAGAAGAACTACTAGTTATATGTATTACTATTTGTAGACTGCCACTTTTCTCTCTAAACTTAAGCAAGCAAATCATATTAGTGGTTTTATTTTAGTGTCGTAGAATTACATAAAAAATACCCCCTAGTTGCACGGCGGTATGTCTGCAGATTTACAACTCTAAAAACCAGATTTCAGTACTGTGGTGTGCAGAGTACAGATAACCGTTTGTGTAGTTTTGTGCTTAACTACAAACAAACAAATACAAATTACAACTCTAAAAACCAGATTTCACTACTGTGGTTGGCAGAGTACAGATAGCCGTTTGTGTAGTTTTGTGCTTAACTACAAACAAACAAATACAAATTACAACTCTAAAAACCAGATTTCAGTACTGTGGTGGGCAGAGTACAGATAACCGTTTGTGTAGTTTTGTGCTTAACTACAAACAAACAAATACATAAACAAAAAATTAAGTCAGTGCTATTCAGAATTATTAAAATATAGCAAAAGTTCTGGGAAGGAGCATCATCACTGGGCAACAGAGAATAAAAGGTTTTTACCAGCTGGATGTGTTTATTTATAAAGTACTCCCTACTACATATAGAAGGAAAAAATCAATAGACAGATAAATGTGTTACAGCATAAAAGAGACAATTGTGGATATTTTATTTTTCATAAGTACATTTTCTACGTATAAAAGTAACACATTATTCTTTGTTGTTTCCAGAAAAATACGAACTGTGATCACGAACAGGCTCTTACGCTATCTCCAAGATCAAATGAGGAAAGATTCTGAAGGTTACGATAAATTTTTTAATGATTATGGTTTATTTCTTAAAGAAGGCATAGTGTCGAGTCAAGAACAAGCAGAAAAGGTATAGTAATAAAAATAATTTACCTTGTTTATTTTAGACAATAAAAATATACGTGAAGCACTAAATAATGTCACTGTAACTAAACTGTCGATGACAAAGTTTAAAATCTTTATCTTAAAATTTTTGTTTTACGTCGGATTAATCCTTCTTTAAAATATAATCGATATTTTCAGTATTCATTTGATATATATATATATATACCACCATCCACTGGACTTCATCCTCTTATGTAACAATGTAAGTTCTGAAAACCAGTAAGACCTATTTTCCTCTCACTATTTGGGTTTCATAGTCACAATTTTTGTTTACAAATACTCTAGAGATAATGTTTGTATTATTTTAAATTATTTCTCATGTTTTATCACCATAGACATCGACTTATTGTGTCATTAACCCTTTATAAATTTAATACTTATAGCTGTCAATATGTTGGGTATATCTTCACGAAAATTTGGCAGTCTTTCAGTTAATATTTCAAGTCTTTTACATACAAAAAATCATATCTTTTAGTGAAGTATTTTTAATAAAATAAAATAAAGATTTGTCCATTAATATATTGAGTATTTGTTTTTAATAGTCTGTGTACAAAGTAATTTTCATGTTAAAAATAAAGATACTTTTCCTCATCTCAAAAATCTCGAATTTCTTTTGTGTAATCCCTAAAACTTCCTAAATGTATTTCAAAAGTTTTCTTTCAGTAAAACTTTATAGTTTATCTGTTATTTTCTCTATCCTATCTCAAAAAGGGATTGGTCAATTTGATTGACCCCGTAACCACAAAAAAATCTAAATAAACCTTTTTTCTTTCTATAATGACTTCAAATTGTAACATTAAACTATGTTTGTTTATCCTAAGTAGCTTTAAGTTTCTAACATTATATATATCTATTAAATTTTATTGTTTTAAAGAATAAATATGAAAAACAATAAAGTATAATGATTTTTTTTATTGTTATTACAGACACAAACTAATACTGTTTTATGTTTTTTATTGTTATTACAGACACAAACTAATACTGTTTTTTTATTGTGTTTATTTGTTCACTCAGTGAAGCATTTACATTTGATAAACGTTTTCACTTTTATATTTATTAATTTTATTTTCTTTAGTGTGATGTACAATTTGATAATTTTTCTTGTATTACTTAATATCATTATGTCTAAACATTTTCAGAGTAGATGCTTGTTTAACCATAGAACACCAGTTTGGGGTCACTATGACCCCATATCACCTGGTGTTAATGATTGAAAATTTAACGCTGGCATTTTAGGGTTCAAAATAAATGTTATTCCTACTAATGTTGTAGTACAGATTACGGGACGAGGTTTTATGTTTCTTGTATTATCTTTCTTGTTTCAAATCAGTATTACTGAATATAAAACAATGAAAGCAGATTGTTCTAATTATTTTACAAAGTATATTAATTTAGTATTTCTAGTATTAATTTCATCATTATTTAATTTGTTTTATATTTATCAGGAAGACTCGCAGCTTTATTTGAACGTGAATGTTTTATAATTTGAACAAAGTTTGATTAAAAAAAAGTCCCTAATTATTACTTATACACATGAAAGTAATTTGAATAATTTTTTAGATAAATTTCAAAGTAATGTATTAACTAAAGGTTTATCTAACAGGAAGAAATAGCCAAATTATTACGGTTTGAATCATCTTTAAAACCAGCAGGTGAAAGAGTTTCTCTCGCTGAATATTGCAGTCGCATGAAAGATGACCAGAAAGACATCTATTATCTTGCTGCTCCTAGGTTGGTTTTACACTGTTTAGAGAGGTTCAGTCGGGTAGTACCTTAAAATTACAAGTTAGTTTGTCTATAGTTTATCAGACAATTATTCTGATAACTTGACTTGGAAGCCTCCAATATTTCATTAAACATTATTATGGTTAAAATAATAATTAATAATGTAGTTGTGATCAGTTG